TAATTTAAGTTATGATCTGTGTAATTTGAGCAACTGTTGTAGGCTTGTTTATGAAGTACTATTTCATGTGGGTAATTTAAGTTATGATTCGTGGTGTTTTAGACTTGCATGTTATGAAAGCATTGGAATATGTTGTACCTTCTGTGCTTATTTTACATGTGCTGCACTATGTGTATGCAATAAAATAATGAAAGCAACTATTTTAGGCTTGCATGCTTTTTCTTGTACCGGCTCAGCAGGCTTTCAAACAAAAATAAGCTATCGAATTATTTCTCCAGTGCTGTGCACAAGGGTACCTTCTATCTTTTCAACATGAACCACTCACATGTTTCATAGCTCACGGACAGCTTGAAGTTGCATAACTCGTACAATCCTTTACTTTCCATTTGCCTATAAAGGAGTAGAGAACTTGTAACATTATTTCACTGCCTTCTGTTTGCATCTTCTTCTATTTTTGAAATAAAAAAAGTGAGGGTATGGTGCATTTTGATTTCAACTATAATTTGCAACAATTGTCCGATGGCGATAATGAAATTGATGACACAACATATATGGAAGAGTTGTTCGTGGATATTAGAGAGTGGTTTCAATATTGTCAAAGGAATGACATGAATTTACGGTACTATCGTGTACAACAACGTCGTATTTCTCGCTTTCCATTCGCGCGAAACGGGCACATGTTTATGCTAGATGCTATGAACTGTAGCCCGCAACAGTGCTACGTGGAGTTCCGCATGTACCCCGCGATGCTTCGAGCGTTTACACACGTACTTCGAGATGAGTACGGACTGCGAAGCGGGCAACATATCGATGTGTACGAACAAGTGGGTATGTTTCTATGCATTCTGGCGCATGGAAAGGGTTATAGACAAGTGCAGACGTTATTCAACCATTCGCTGGAGACCATTGGGCACTACTTCAAACTTGTACTCGAAGCGGTTGTGGAGTTCTCGTACCGGCAGTTAATTAAACCAGATCCGAACTACAATCATGGCGCCGAGCACCACGTTCCGAATTTAAACAAACACACCCTATTTCGGGATTGCATAGGAGCTATTGACGGTACACACGTCACGGCCGTTCTACCGCGTGAGGAGCGGGTGAGTTTCATCGGACGCAAAGGAATTCCGACGCAAAATGTACTAGCGGCATGCGACTTCAATCTGTGTTTCACATTTGTGCTTGCTGGCTCTACAGGAAATAGTCATGATGCTAGAATCTTGTCTAGGGTTATACATGAACCCGAAATAGACTTCCCGAAACCAGCTCCTGGAAAATATTATCTGGTTGACTCAGGTTTCGCGCATCGACCAGGGTACATGGCGCCGTATAAGGGTTCAGATATATTGTACCACTTTCAGCAATTTTATGACGGGTCCACCGGTCGTAGGCGCAACTTCCGAAATGCACGGGAGAAGTTTAATTTTAGGCACTCGTCCTGCAGAAACGTAATCGAACGTGCGTTCGGCGTGTGAAAAAGTCGTTGGAAAATACTCGATCGGATGCCAAGTTA